AGAGGTGCATACTGGGAGTCTGGGGTGTGGGAGGTGTTGAAGATGAATCCCCAGACGCCGGTGCTGTTGAAGACGGTGGTGAGGTTGGTTATCGAAGATGGTTTTGGGGGATACCAAGACAGGTCGATCTCAAAGTCTTCACTTTCGAGCGACTCTGGTGCGTTTGAGGCATGTGACTGGCCCAGACTGGCAAGTAATATAGCTGTGAGACTGGCCACGCTGGACAGCGTGTTGTGCATCATATCGGTTGTGCTTATCAGATCTTGGTTGAGCAGTTGAACTAGCAGCCCAATGATGAGAACCGTGGACAGTCCAAGAACCAGAAATAGTGTTGAGAAACCCCAGAAACCATAGAAAACATGGCGCCGTCGGCCCGGTTGATGCTGGGTCACATCCATCAAAGTGTTGCATCTGCAAAGTTGACAGTGACGCTGACGACGAAGTTGGATGGCAGGGAGGGGCACCGTTGATCAACGATCACCGTGCATAACCGCGCCGGACACCAACACGTGGGGCGGCAAGGCTGCCGACTGGCTGAACTTGTCACTACTTCTATTTCGACTTTGACTTCAGCACCTCTCGGCGCCGTACTGGTCTACTGTACCTCGGCTTGATCAACCCCGACAGCAACATATGCCGATACGACATTCGAATCTGACTCCTGACCTTCCTCCGTTTTGGCATGAACTTCCTCCGCTTCACCGTGAGCAGCATATCTGGATCAAGCTTCCTGTACCGAATCTCCCATCTCAGCCAGTCTTCCAAGCCCGGTATATGAATTCCCAGCGTTGGTAGCGCCAACAGCTGGGGCGGATTATCTGTCCTTCTTTCCGTAATGTCATCCTCCCAGGCCTTGGCCTGCAGCAGCCTGGCTCGTTTACTGGCTGACGAGTGTAGCAGCTCCTGTTCCACCGTGTCCGAGCTTTTCTTTTCAGCATCCTTGCTCTCTTCGTTCTCTACAGCCTCCTCTCGGATTTCCCACTGGCCATCAGCGTTACGCTTACGCAAGGCCCCATACTTGTCCAGTTCCTCAATATCCGGCCAGTATTCATCGTGTTGTATTACTCCCGTAACATCAACCCTGGAGTATATTCCAGGGAGAGTGTACCTTATCTTGCCAGGCGCATACCGCTTGAGCATAGCCGCGAGGTCATTCTTGCTTTGCTCATCAAGCGCTTCTTTGAACGGCTTCTGATGCTCCGCCTCAAATGGCATGACATGAAGATTACCTGGCAGCCTGCTGAGCAGTCGGATCCAGTACCGGCCGTCATACAGCTTGAAGCCTGACCATCCGGTTGTCTTCCACTGGTGCGGTTTTTTGCCCCATCTTCCTCTGATGTTGGGCGCCCAAAAATCGGTACGAGGCCGTGGGACATTCGAAGCGTAGGGCGCGCGGGTCAGGAGCCAGCGGAAGGGTTGGCTGTTGGGGCCCATCATGGGTACAAAATGTACGCCGCAGATGACGTATGGCTTGGGAGGTGGTGGCTCGACGCCATCTTGTGCCAGGGAGGGGAACAGCATAGATGCGAGATGATCGAGCTGGCCAGCTTGGTTGAGCTCTCTTTCCGGTGTGACCATGGAAATCAGCTTTCGAAGCAGGAGAGCGGCGATGTAGCGATGGTGATCAAGCCGCTTCTGGCGACCCCCGGGTGACTTTGACGATAATCCTGACACTCGTGGGAGTCGGAATTTCGGCAGTTGTACCACCAACGTGCCAGTACTGGGCTCAAAATGAGGGACCAGAGCACTCTGCAGCAGGCGATCTGCTTCAGCCTCCTCAAAAGCCACTCTCTTCCTGCACCGTTCTGCCAATCGCAATATCGCCGGCTTCTGAAGCGCCTCTGGCAAGCGGTGATTCTTCCACATCTGCCTCACGGCGTTCCTCATGGTCAGCGTCGGGTCCTTGTTGGTGTGATCCTCAAACCACGGAACGTTATTCTCCAAGCAGGTGGCAATCAAGCGATCCTTGGAAAAGTGTAGCAGCGGCCGATATACCATGACTCCCCCATCCTCAAAGTCCATCGTCGGCAGCGGAGGGGCAGGCTTGTTGCTCCTGGCGATCCACTCGTCATAGTCCTGGTCGGCAGAAAAAGCGTCCTTGAGATCTGTCCTCCACATCATGGGTTCCGCCTTCTCAGCAAACGTGGCCAAGTCGAAGTGGAAATCATCACGTAAGGCTCGCAATATCTTAGTCCTTTCGGCCCTGTTTGGGTAAATATTCCACACAGGGTGCTTACTCCTCTGGTCATCGATAAAGCCGCTCTGGTAGATGCCATGCATATCGTAACACTCGGGGATGTCTGTTGCTGGGCGCATCCCTCTCAAGCCGCGATATCCATGGCCGGAAAGCAGCCTCATGAGAATGGTCTCATACTGGTCATCTTCGTGATGGGCCGTGAGCAAAGACATGGTCTTGCAGTTCCTGGCGAAGGTGCCCAATTTCCGATAGCGCTGCTGACGTGCAAGAGTCTCAATGTTGGGCACCGTGTTGGGATCCACACCCTTGCCCAATACCTGGGCCCAGTCGATTTTGGCAACATAGGCAAAGATCTTGAGCCCTCTCAGGGCCTTGATTACCTGGTCGACTTCCTCAACCATGCCCTTCCGCAGATCATGGTTGACAACAAAAGCGACAGGGTTGCTGACGGGGTGGTCAGCCACCTTGAACCAATGATCGGTCGTCCTGATCTTGGTAGAGAGGTAGGCCAGGGCCATGGAGTCGACACCGCCGCTGATGGCGAGGGCGATGGGCTTGTGGGAGCGCCCACGGTCGTAGGGGAACCTGGGGTTGCATGTTGCGTGGAGGGCGTCTAGGAACTCGCGGGGTGCGATGGCCCTCGCTGTGCTGTGCACAACAGGTGGTAGCGTTCCCATTCCATCGCAGGTGAGCCAGATACCGAATAATAAATCTCTGTCACTAATAAAAAGAGAGAACAAATAAATCACCATCAAAGTCGTGAGGGGTCCGAGCTTTTGTATTCACAAGTGATCGCCTCAACCCCTACCTCTTGGCACGCCAAGCCCACATCGGGCCCACCAGCATGACGCATTTGCCTGCCGGGCCCGGACCGGAGCTCGGGAATTTTCATCTCAACCCGTTGCGATTGCGACAGCGACGCCGGCGACAACCAGCTCTGCGCCTGGTCACATCCTCACCACTCCGGACCTCTAAACCGGCCGCTCTGTCCCAACCGACACAATGTCAGAACCCCCCCCACCCCCCTTCAACACCGCCCTCCTCTCGGGCGCCCTAGCCGGCACAACAGTCGACCTCCTCCTCTTCCCCCTCGACACCCTCAAAACCCGCCTCCAATCCCCCACCGGCTTCTTTTCCTCAGGCGGCTTCCGCGGCATCTACCGCGGCATCGGCTCCTGCCTCGTCGGCTCCGCCCCCGGAGCAGCCTTCTTCTTCTCCACCTACGAGCACACCAAATCCCTCCTCTCCCACAACTTCCCCCCCTTGCCCACCTCTCCAAACCAAACAACCACCCCAGCCTACCACCACATGCTCTCCGCCTCCCTCGGCGAAATCGCCGCCTGCGCCGTCCGCGTCCCCACCGAAGTAGTAAAACAACGCGCCCAAGCCGGCCACCACAACGGGTCCTCCGCCCAAGCCTTCCGGCACATCATTGCACAATACAGCACCATCGGTCTCCCCGGTGTGTGGAAGGAGCTCTACAGAGGCTGGACAATAACAATCATCCGCGAGGTCCCTTTTACCGTGCTCCAATTCCCGCTATGGGAAGGTCTCAAGTCGTGGGGCCGCGCGAGGAAACAACGCACCGGGAGGGGACTCTTTGGTGATAGTTCCTCTTCCTCTACATCAACTGAAGTTTCCGCCCCAGAGTCGGCGCTCTACGGTTCGGTGGCTGGCGGGTTCGCCGCCGCGGTGACAACACCGCTTGATGTCCTCAAGACGAGAGTCATGCTCTCGACTGAAAAACAAAGCATGTTCAAAGTCATGACCGATATCCTGAGAGAAAACGGGATACGTCCCTTCTTTGCGGGGATAGGCCCGAGGGTGATGTGGATCAGCATAGGGGGCGCGATATTCTTGGGGAGTTACCAGTGGGCGGTGAATACGCTTTCTGTAGGGGGAGAGAAGAAGAGGGGGAAAGAGAGTGTCTTATAGAGGTGGGAAAAATAAGGACAGTAAAAATAATGGAGGGACGGGAACATGATAGACGAAACAACACCATGCACATAGATCTTGATACCCTTAGTTGTGTTGTGCGATCAAACTGAGCGCCTGTATATAATATGTACATTTACTACGCTAAAAAAAAACACCAAGAATTACCATTCGCCGGCCCTGCAAAAGCCAACCCACCCAACCAACCATATACAAACCCTACCTTCCTTCAACTCCCATAAACACCCCCACACCATCAAACACCATTAAACACCAGGCGTCCCAACCTCATCACTCTTCTTCCCCACCTGCTCCTCCTCCTTCACCACCTCCTCCACCTGCTCCGTCAACTTAATCTCCTTCCTCCCATTCGCCCTATAATGAAGAACAATATCATTCCCCCCCCTCCAAACATGCGTCCTCAGCGTCGCAAGCGTCATCTTATTCGGTAGCATCTGTTTTGTCTTATCAGCACCACCCCCACCTTCCCTTTCCCGCCCCCTAGTAGTACTCACCTGTTCGTTACACCACAACTCCAAATACTCCTCCGGCCTCATCACCCCCTCCCCAACCTCCCCCCCCTCCCGCTCCACCCTCTCCACCTCCTCCTTCCACTCCCGATCAATCCTCTCAGCCACATACCCCAAAATCTTCTTCACCCTCAGCATCCTATTCGCATTGAGCCTATTATTCCCATCCGGCGCCGCCACCAGCTCAGGCAGCTCCCCCTTGTACGGAAACAGCACAAAGCTGACCTTCACCGCGTCCTTGACCGGGAGAACATTCTGCAGCAAACACTCCCCAAGCCACTTCGGTCCCTTCTGTTCAATCTCATCCGTGTCAGTACCCACACTCCCCACCGTCCCACGATAAACTTCCGCCGAGCCGCCAGAAGTTTCTTCCTGTATAATGACTTTTGTCCCAGGTGGGAGTTTAAGAACCGGAGTATCATTCGGCAAAGAGGGCGTGATTTTCGTTTCGACAATCTGGCCTGGGTTGTCAACAAGCTCTTCTTCGTATTCCGCTTTAATCTTTTGAACGACGCCCCCAAGGTTGTCGTCAAATTCCCTTTCGTGTTGGCTGCCATTCGACTGTGACTCCTCGGCCTTCTCGTCCAAGGCGGCAGGTTTCTCTGCTTGGGGTGTAGATGCCGAGCGACCCAGCTTCATGCTGAACCCGCCCATTCGGAACTTCTTCATTCCACCAAACGGCGTGCTGGGAGTCTTCCCACCGTCCTTTTCCTTGTCTTTGGCATCCTTCTCCTTTTCTTTGCCATTGGTTTCAGTAGCACCTGGTGTCTTGGCTGGTTGCTCAGGGCCGGGGGTCGGGGGCACCTCGGTCGCGGGAGTTTGGGCTAGTCTGTTGCTCTGATCTAATCCCGGCGTTTGTATCGCATCGGCAAAATAGTCTTCGCGTTCTTGTGAGGGTCTGCTGACTTGGGAAGTTCTCTTCTCAAGTGGGCTGAGTGGTGTGGTGAAGCCCCCATCCAGGAAAGGAGCCATTGGTGAACCGGGGGTAGCAAGGCCGATGGCCATCCCAGGAGTCATGGGTGGGTAGTTCATGCCAGTAGCCTTCGGTGTAGCTGACGACGAGGGTTCAGAAAACTGCCATCCTGCTGGTCCTGGAATACTAATCGCCAGTGGAGGCAGCATCCTACCGCCGCCTGCCGTCTTTTTGAGCACCTTTTCGTTGAGCTTGTGTCTGAAGGCCTCGTCACGGCGGATTTCTTCGTCGATGAGGTTGGCAAAGAGATATCTGAGGACCCATTTCCCAAGGTTGACTAGAATTTGTCAGTTGCAATCCGACCTTCCTCAGGTTGGAAGGACTTACTCCTCTGGTCTTCTCTAAACTCCGTATTTTCCACAGAGCCCAACTCATCAGCGTACATCTCTGCATCAAAGCAATTGTAAGGTTCCAACACAACAGCAAGATTGCCCGAGCTGGTGTCAATCGAGCACCACGGCGCCACGGCCTCCTTAGTGTTAACCTGTGGCACGATGGTCTCAAGGTGATGCTTTCCAAACTCTTGAATCGGTCGACACTTCAAAGGGTCAATATCGTCGCACATACAAAACACAGTGGGAGAGGGAGCATACTTGAATCAAATCCCACAACAAGACCTCACCAGCAGTATCCAGGGTCAGCACTCGTCTCCGATCATTCAACAACCTGTGCTTCACCAGCCCAAACTGGCCCGCTATGGTCTCCTCTGGTTCATGCTGTATTGGCTCAGGGAGCTCCACCATGTTGAACGCCGGCTCCGGAACCTGTGAGCCTGGACTGACCGAGTTCTCATCCACGTTACCGCGACCCAACGTAAACGGAAGAGGAGCCGTGTTCGAGATTCTCAAAATGGACTTCTCCGAAATGTTCCGCTTATGCCGGGGCTTGTACGGGGATTCGGCTCCAGACGCAGGCGGCACCATAGTCGACGACAAAGATCCGTCCCGACTCCTAATCGTGGCCAACGATGCCCGATGTGCCCGGAACGCCTCTGGTAGTTGCGTATGATCACTCGAGTCCACATTCTTCCATCTGTTGATCGATGCCCTGCTGGTTGATGTCCAGATGCTGTCTCCCCAGGCCACTACTCTCGTGACGCCATCGTTTTCTTGAGCGACAGCTAGCGACAGCCCGTTGTCAAACTCCCCATTCGTACCCCTGACATCCGTCTTGACCACCAACCCCGACCTGTCAGCGCTGTAAAAGGTGTGCAGCGAAGGGTCATCCGAGAACAGCGCCCAAACACTGCTGTCATGCATGGTAAGTGTATGCATACACCTTCCCGCCGTGACGCTCCACACCTTGACCGTCTGATCAGAACTAGCAGACATGATCAAGTCCCCATTCTCGCTGATCAGAATCGACCTGATCATGTCCGTATGACCAACAAACTTGGTGATACGTTTACCAGTTTTTGGATCCCACAACCGTACTGTCGACTCGGGTCCGCCGTTGGCGACAACGTTGTGTGTTACCCCCATGGCATAGATGCTGCCCTTCTCAGCCACCTCTTCACCTCGGGCGTCAATCTCGAGGATGTTTCCGCCTCCTGCCAGGTCCCAAAAGTTGATCTTGCGGTCGAGGCCGCCCGAGGCTACCCAGTGTGTGTCTGCTGTTGGTGTCGCGACGCATTTGACATAATCGGCATGCTGGCCGATGGTCGCCGGGTCGGCCGGTGTTTCGGCTAGTGGACGCCATAGCTTGACAAACAGATCCGAGGAGCCGGATACAACGGCTGTATGCTTCTCGGCGAGCGTAATGTCGTTGACCCAGTGGGTATGCGCCTGTGTTTGTGCACGAAATGTGGTTGCCCGTTTGGATGTGCTGGCGCTCATCGTCTCGTCGATCATGGCGGAGTGGGAGGTCTGGGGGGCAACGAGATCTCGGTTGAGATCCCAGGCGCAGAGGACACCATCGCGGCCGCCGGAGTATCTGTGGGGAGCATATGTCGGTAAGTAATGAACTTCTGGGGGTGGGTTCGGTATATCTGGAGCGACGCTCTCACAGGATGCTGTTTGTCTGGTCGATGGCAAGGCCGTTCACGCCGAGTCTATGGCCGCCAGGAGAGGAGTTGGGGTGTTCGAGGACTATCAATTGGAAGCGTCAGATAGAGATGTGTCTGTAGGGATGCTGCAGGACGACGCATTGGTAGCACAAACCATAGCTGATTCTCTGGCGGGCCTTTTTGGACATGGCGAATGGATAGCCCGTTGGGTGCCAACCATGTGATTGCGCGGTAATGTCAGTGGATATGATACTTGATGGATGAAACGTCCAGAATGATACTAGTAGCAGTCAAAGTATATCTGAAACCTAGTCTCAAGTGAGAGAATATCAATGGATGAATGTTGAAGTTGAGCTCGTGTTCACAGGCAATTGCGGGGTGGTATTCTGGGGCGCGTGGACAGCTCCAAAGCTCCCCCAGATCAGCGGGAGCTAAGCGCGTTCCTGGTGCTGCTGCCAAGGATGCTTCAGTGGGGACTGCCCCATGTTCTGGAAGTTCGGAACCTGGCAGATCCACGTGATGGGGCCTGCCAAGATATCCAACGTCTCTTCTCTCTCTCCACTCTCAGAGTCATCATTACGTCTTCATACTGGTCACTTGTTCTCAGGAAGATTCTCAGAGGTCTGTGATATGCCGCTCAAATCGGCAGGCAATGTCTTCCATTGTGTCCCTTGGGTATCTCCCTCCACCCCTTCCCAAACTCCACGAACTCCATATCGTTGTAAAAATACAAATAAGATACAGGGAAGGATCCTTCTCTCCTTCTCACTTCTCCTCCTTCTTCACCCCATGGGTCTTCTTGTCATCTCAGGCAGAGCCGGAGGGCGCGGGCGAAGCTGGTCCCAGACGGGCAGGGTTCCGGGCCGGGATGGCCGGCGACGAGGGAACGGCAGGAGGCGGCCGGGAGGGAGGGACCGGTGGCGCGGGTCGAGTGGGCGCGGGCGGCGAGACGGGGCCCGGCAGCACAGGCGGGAGCGAGAACGGCAGATACGGAACCGCAAGCACACCACCAAAGAGGGAAGGTCGAGGGCGCGAGCCGACGACAACGCCAGAGACAGTTCCACCGAGGACAGAGCCCCGGGCAACACGGCGGTTGGGGTTCGCCCAGTTGTGGCCTATCACTTGAAGTTAGCAAAGTCGGCCATCTGAATCGGTGGGAAACGACTTACGAAACGCGGGAGGAGCAGGGTAGCCAAACGGATTGTTTGGCTCGAGGTGGTCGGCTTCAAGGAAAACGTCAGCAACTTTTCGATCCAAGAACAGCACATGCTGGGACAACTTACCAGGACGAGGCAGAGACTCTTCCCCGGCAGAAACCGACGCAGACGAGGGCGCAGCAGAGGCAACCGACGCAGCCGACAGCGACCGTTCCTCCAAAGAGGGCCGGCCCGGAGGCGCAAGATTCTCTGTGGGCTGCGAGCCCAGGGACGGCGACGACGAGAGGGCTTTGCCCTGCGAAGGGCTGGCGGTTGATGAAGCCGTCATGGTGACGGCAAATCTGTTGCTTTTGGTGGGAAAGAGAGAGTACATCCCAGGACTACGTGTGTGGGGATTTATTTGTACTCTCTCCTGCCGGTCTGTGCTCGCTGCCTCACCAGGGCTTCCGGTGGCTTCTGGCCCTGGCTTCATCTCCGCGTCGGATGCCACGATTGGCTCGACAGCACCGAGCGGAGAACGCGGCAGCGGGAGCTCAGGCCGGCTGCTGGCGGTCGCCGGCGTTTGGCTTCGGGCCCGGACGGGCAGGCGTGGCACCGGCGGCAGAGGGAACGCTGGTGGGGGCGAGGGCTGTTCGAGGGTGATCCCTCGAGGACGGGCAGGTAAGGCTGGCTCTGATAGAGGTTAGCTAACTTTCTAAATCAGCCCGTGTTTGGTCAGAGCTGGGTTTGAGAAACCACAGGTTCAGAGCAAAGGTAAGAGGACCAAGACAAAAACGATCAATCAACATCGTTACTTGCCAGTTGGAGCAGCGGTCGAAGGACCCCAAGCAGCACGAGCTCTGGTCATCGGAAAGTCGCCAACCCCTTCACAATCATTGAGGTCAGCCATAGCCCCTTTGAATTGAAGAGTGTTGATGAGGATATCACTTACTTCCGATGTCACCAAGCAGGTGCTCGAACTGGTCGATCATCCCAGCTGTCTCTTGCAGCGTCACCTCCTCCTCGTCATTGCGGTTTGGTTCTGCTTACATCTGTGGTTAGTCGGTTCATCTGAGACACAGTCAAGTCATCCCGATGATCACGACTTACGTTTTGACATGTTTGTCACTTGGTGGTTTGCTGTGACTGTTGATGTTTGTGTGATGGGTTCAACTCAGAACGTCGAAAGAGAGAGAGCAAGAAGAGAGGTCGGACAGGAGGGATTTTTCAATTTTCCAAGGCCACCAGAGTGTGCACGACTGCAGTCGGTCTTCGTGAGTACCCTCCTGGCTCAAAGCAGGTATCAAGTTGGTCCAAGCGTTTCACCGCCTTCGAAAGGTCAAAATGGATGTCAAGGAGCAACATTAGTAGCAGCGACGGTAAGGGCTGATTGCTGTTGGACAGAACGGTAGGGTTCTTTGGGTTCTGGACATGCACACGCATGCCTGCCAGCCAGCATCACTGCAAAGAAGGCTTGTGTGCTTCAAGATATCTAGTGAGTGCTCTGACCTCTCTCCAAAGAAATGTTACTCGACTTCATCAGGCTCCAAATACAGTAAAAATGGCCTTTTCACGAGCATCTTCTCCGGTTAATGTTGTTTGAGTTCTGGTTCTCAAGCCAATGCTCTGTCTGTCAATATATAACTCGAGTTGAAGCACACAATGTTCAACGAACTCCTTATTGTGCGCTACTATTTCAAAGCCATGGTGAAGTCTGCTCATTACTTAGTCTCACATATGTGTTTCTGGCAAGTCCGGATCGAAAGAGAACTGAGAGATACACAGTCATCCTACCAGCACTCTTTCAACGTGGGTGTCGGCCTCTGACAACTTGACTCATCAGTCATTTCTTTGACGTCTCGAAAAAGGAACTATCTTTATTGACGAGCAAACACTTAAAGTCACAGAATTCACATGAATAATCATTCCTGGCATGGAAGTGCGGTTGCTGGAGGGATGGTTGTCATAATGCCAAGGCTGGATTCAGGAGTGACCCCTTTTCCAGAACTGAGTCTTGGCATCTCACAGTCAACAAGAACAAAGATACATCATGATACCTCTGAACAAGGTGAATCTTCCATGACTTGATAGCCCATGGTTCTTTCGTGGGCCTCTAGTCAGGAGTTGATCACCTTTAGCTTGTAGTTCTTATCATAACATGGGTTATGTTCAAGACGTTAACTGTTTTAAAGTCAGCAATGACAACACGATAGGTGCGTCAAATGATGACATTATTGTTGTGACTATACCAATCTCTGCCAGATGTACTGGACTTCCATGTAAATATCCCCCCCTCCCTCAGAATTTCTCCCGAGCTATGGATTCCTGTTGGGAAAGGATCATCATTCTTTATTATAAAGTATACCAGAAGGTATTAAAGATCAAGATTTTGCATCTTGATGATCCAGGTCTTTACGCATAGTACCGCTGAATGATTATTTGTGCTTATATTGATCAGCATATAAATATACGAGCCACTCCTCTTTGCTGAGTACATTTATCTCACCTCACCTCTTTGCGATGCCACATGGAACTTGGCTTGTTGGTCAGTCATGCACCTGCCCACCCACCTACCTCTACACTCGTCTTCTAATCTAAGACACCGCCCTCCAGCTCCGACGGTCTCGAATAGACATCCTTCCCAGACCTTTCTCGAGTTGTGCAGCAGTCGTCTCACCCGACATGAGAGCCTGCCACAGGATACTGAAGACCCAACATATGTATTGCTTCTCGAGGATACAGTGTCTCCTCCATCGCTGAGGGGCGACAATAACGCCGAGAAATTTTGATTAGTGGTCGACTTTTTCAGCAACCTCTGACCTCGATCGTGCTCGATCTACTTTTTGGGATCAGTTGTGAAATTTAATTATGAATTATCTGACCTTATTCACCACGGCACCATCCCAGTTTGAGAGCCACGCGTTGTCCTTTAGCAATGTGACTGGCAGAGAGACAAAAGGCTCGCTCGGAAGTGCTACAACTGCGGTGTTATAGCTGAGAACACCGGATCTTGAAGATTGAAGAGATTGTGCCAGTACCGCTTGGTTTTGGAAATAGGATTCCCACATCTTAATGGTGGAATTACCGGTCTAGATGGCCCTGGCTTTGAGAAATTAAACAACATCGCATACTGTTTGGTTCTTTGGTGTTAAGTACCTTAGGTATGTGAAGCCAAACATCTAGATCCTTTCAAACACTACTTTCCATACTCTTTTCCTCTTTGACTAGGTTTGTTTGCCCTACTTTGAAGGCAAATCACACACTGATTCCGTACGGACTTTTTATTGCAGCCTGGAGAAGCTCTTCTTTCATTCGCGCCTTCTTGGCCTAGTTCTCATCAAAATCCCCACATAACATACCCTATTCAGTGTATCCGTTTACCACCTAAACTCTTTCCTTCGTTGAATTAGGTATCTCTCCCCAATGTAACAGACATCCCAACCGATGAAATGCACAAGAACCCAATTTTGGGGGCCCACCACTTTTAGGCTTTACAGAACTCTGGTCGAGCAACGCCACCTACGACGCAACCTCATCACCACACTCAACACAGACCAATGCCAGCACCCAGGACCAGACCACACTATTTGATTCAAAATTTGGGCACACACATCCGTGGCGTGCGTAGTATAGCGGTATTACGTTCTGCTCTTCGAATCCTGACCACTCACCACACAGCATGTTTGGCTTTCAGCGTTTGCTTTCTTTTCTTTTCTTTTCTTTTCTTTTCTTTTCTTTTCTTTTCTTTATTATTTGATTGAAGTCATTATATAGCACACCCTCTTTTCACTTCTGATCCTGCCTCCCATCCAGCAGTATTCGGTAGATGCCGGACGACAACTTGACATACCACCTGACACCCATCACCCAAACGTACCTAGGTACCTTACCTTTTGCGCTCAACCCTGAGATTACGTGCAGCACCTTGTTCATATTCGCAGCTCCTACGAGACTGCACCATGCCGGGAAGGGACCCCAACATTCTTCCATTTCTCCAAAGTCACTCTCGTTTTCGGTTACCATCTTACATTCTTCCCCGAAGCTACCTGTCACAAGACGATCGACAAGAAACCCACCTGAACGTGCGCCTGGGTTCCATGCATGATCTGGCGCCGACTTGGGATCAACTCTCTTCCCTTACGCTGGGATGAGAACTTTCTCAAGCATCACATAGGGTACAGGTTTTGTCTGGTGGGGTTATGGTGGTGGCAGGACTGGTATCAGGTGTTGTGCACCTGTTTCTGCGGTGGGCGAGGGGCTGCCTGCTTAAGGTAGTTTGTCTTCTTGGTTGTGGTTGGACATCGTCGGTGGTGAATGTAGCCTTGAGATGAAGAGAAAAGATTGCGTTACCTCAGGGATCTTAACGAGG